CCACTGGCTATATAAATATAACATATTATTATTATTAATAATGTTTTGCGGAAGTCGTCCATTCACGAAACGCTGATCATGACTATTAATTTTCTGGTAACTGGTATCTAATTTAAATGCTAGGACTGTACAAACAATGTGCGCGGACCGAACAAAACAAAAGGAAATTAATCAAATGAATGCTACGCATGCCCAGTCAGTCAAAAAGGTCGCGCTTTTTTCTTCGTGTCAAAGTTCAAAAGTGAACTTCTATTATTTTCTTCTCCCCCTCTCTCTCTCTCTCTCTCCCCACATCATCCTCGGGTTAGAAGTGTGGTTTATAAGTAATTTAAAGAAATTTACGATGTCAGAGAGTCTTACAGAACCACAGGTAAATTATGCCTTCTACTTGAATTTATGTTTTTCAAATGTGTAAAACACTGTGGTATTTATGTATTTCCTTTATTAGGCCTAGACAATGTGGTTTTTTATGTTAAAACTAGCCTAGGCTAGCTTAGTCCAGGCTTAGCAACACCGCGATCACTTAGCATCGCTGCTTCGCATAGCTTCTTCTGCTGTATAAAGCTAGGCCTAGCTAGCCTAGCTGCAAATCGATCAGATTGTGTGCTTGGTCATGTCTTGTTGCAGTCTAATGGATTTTTAATTGTGCGGTTCACTCAAACAAAAATCACAAACCATTGGCATTGTTAAATATAAGTGCAGTAAAAATGTAAAGAGAAGGATGAAGTGAAGTGAGCTGAGGATGGAAGGATGGTTTGTTGGTTTCCCTTTCTTCTTTGTTTGGGTTAAATACAACAGAGTAATAATACTACTAGGCCTAGTAGTAGGTTTGAGAATTTGATATTGAGAATGATTTATTTTATAGATAGGCCTAGTTAAATGGAAAATTAAATTTTTATGTTATTTTTCTCTGAATGGTTGTTGCTAACTAGCTTTTCTAAAATCCATAGACAAATCAGAGTGTTGAAAACAATGAAAACACCACATCAAGTAGCACGAGTACCAGTGAATACATCAAAATAAGAGTCACGGCGCAGGTAATAACAATGTGATAATTAAAACATTTACTTCAAATGCCAAATTTACAGACATCTTAATATTAACCATAGTTGAAGTTTGAGGTGCATTGAATAGATTGGCCTTTTCTGACTTTCTTAATAGCCTTTTGAAGATTTCATAAAACTTTATTGTCCAATATGAAAACTCAATTGAAAATCGCTGTTTAAAAGACAATATTCAATTCCAATACTGTGATTTCAAATTGATTAGACTGCAACGGAATTAAATTATTTTTTTTTCAAATTCAAACAGCAGTCAAATCAATTTGAAATAGCAATACTTTTATTTTTAAAATAGAAATGAACTGAATTGTTATGAATTGGAAACCATTGATTTAAATAGTGTATTACTTAATTTTTTTTTTTTAAATTATTGTTATTACAGGATACAAATGAAGTACACTTTAAAGTAAAACTGACAACTCCGATGAAGAAACTGAAAGAATCCTATTGCTCTCGTGTTGTAAGTATAATGCTAATTAAAAAATAGAGTGCCTATAGTACTAGCCTAATTTATCTCAAAATTTATTCTAGAAGTCTCAATTTATGAATAAATAAAATTAGGAAATGTGTTCTACCCAACTTATATTTGTTATTACGCAAAATACTCCCCAAACTTTTGTAACAATGACAAGTAATTTGAGTGGGAATCAAACCCATAACCCCCAGTTAACTAGTCTGGTGTCATGCCATTAGACCACTGAACTTGCATCAGAAAATTATTTATAAATGTTGTTTTACCAAATCTGATGTGTTGTCTCATCTAATACTCAGTATTTCCCGAAGTACAGTGCTGCACCCTCCAATTCGAGACCCATCTAATTCGAGACCACTTTTTTTTAAAACCAAATAACAATCTTAAATCTTACACAATACTAACTAATTGGAGACCGAAACCCAGAGACCACACTGTATTTTTAGGTACCAAAGGTAGTCTTGAATTGGAGGCCGAACTGTACTAAAACTCAGGAATTGCATTCATTACGGGGTCACTTGCAAGCTTGTTGATGTAGTCCAGGGATGGTCATAAAAATCAGTCAGAGGGCGAAAGTTAATTTTTGATTTAACACCAAGGGCCGCACACAAATTTGATGTTTCCAGTGTGCTTCCAAAAACCTTCAAACATTGCTTTTACACCACTTTATTCCCAGTTTTAATATTACTTTTTACATATAATCAGTGTCAGGCCGTAAAAAATATGGCGTTTTCTAGCCAACGTTGCTTAGCGGTCCGCACACATAGGGTTTTTAATTCATTTTCGCGCATTGTTATTATTATTACAGTACTATTATTATTACTACTACTACTATTATTATTATTGATGTTGTTGTTAATATTTTATTGTTACATTGTCTAATATGCACAACTACTGCTCATTATTGATGGAGTTTTATTTCTAAAAATATAAAATAAATGTTATGATAAATAGAATTTTTTTGTTTTTTTTGTTTTAGGGAGTACCACTTTCATCATTAAGATTTCTCTTTGATGGTAATCGAATTGATGATAATCAAACACCAAAACAGGTGAGAAAGGTTTAAATTTCATTCTCCATGTTTTTATCGGGACGAAAATATGGATTGTGGTGCTTATTTGAAGTGGTGCCTGGCAAAAAATATAACATTTGGTGTGGCATTTTGTTTTTCTTATTATCAGCTTGAGATGGAAGAAGATGATGTCATAGAAGTTTACCAAGAACAGACAGGTGGTAACCATTCAGGATAATGGACCGAAGAACTTAACATGATTAGACTTGAAACCAACTTGAAAACACCTCAGTTTCTTTTCGCACTACTTTCATTAACATTTGGCTTAGACAATAAATTTTTTAACGTTTGTAGTAACAGAAATGTGCTGATAAGAAAATGAGGTGATCCTACTGATGATGCAGAGGACCAATGCCTGAATTTAAATGTTGAAAAACAGATGCCTACTGGATAATTATTTGATGGTAAAGTATACTGCCAAAGTTTTGCAAGCCTATATGTATTATGTAGGATTTTGATTGTATACTTGTATAAAATATATATATGGTAACCTAATATAATTTTTAAAGTATATGATTGAATGCTTACATAACTTTTAAGAATAATCCTTCTTGCTATAATAAAATATTTATTTAATCAGGTAGTTTTTAGCCAAGAATTGGTCCCCGTATCTGCCTATCATGATCTTTTTAAAATGAAGTAAGAATTTACAGCCAATAACTTTCCATCATTTAAAAAAGTGAATTTTCTTTTTGGATTTTTACCTTGACATGGCCTATTAGTGTAACCAGATTTTTATATGATGTCTGCCAAGTTTGGGGTACCAAAGAATAGAAAAAATAATTGTTATATGTATTACCATCATCACCATTTCCACAAATTATTACTAAAGAGTATAGAACTACAAGAGGGCTGACTCAGTGTTTTGCTGGAACGCAATCCTATCTAAAAAAAGTACTGTCACGAACTAGGGGGGCATCCTTCAAAAGAATGTGAAAGGGGTTCGCAAACATCTTGCGGTAGTACTTTTTCTGAACGTTTCATTGCATGCATACAAAATCAGGGCAGTTGGACCTATTGCAATTGTATACTCATTGGTATTACTATCATAATTATTATCCTTATTATAGTAATGATGTTCTGTTTCAAAAAGGAAATGAGCAATTTCTAAATAACAGTATTCATAGTTAGGATTGTATTTTGATCAGCAAAAGAAATGGAAAGACAAACCCTATTATGAAATCCAGTTGTTAGATTTTCATTTTATATAATGTGTTACTTGGCAACCAAAATGTAAATATGATTGTAATATCACTCATGAATTGTTACCATAGTTGAGCTGTTGCATTATACATCTTGCTTAAGTTTATGGGGTAAGGGTCAGTGAATCAATAGGACTGTATTGTTTATATGATGATGATTACAGGCAATTTTTTCATCTTTTTCCAAGATACCTGTATTATGAAAAATACCGATACTGTATCTATTAAAATGTTGTTTTCTAAATATTCCTTTAATTTTTTTTTTATTATACAATATTGTGGCTTTTATCACATTATCATGATCACCAAAAAAATAAAGTTCCCCTCAAAAACCCTTTTCAACAATAAACGCCCTGGACCGTTCATCCGTGCGACTTAGTAGGCATACGTTATTACCAGACTCACAAAAGACATTGAAATAAGCATGCTCAGGGGTTGCAAGTTTGAAGAAATCCCTTCCAAGAGATCTGGTTTACGAGTTCTCATCTCATCAAATTGCATTTTGCTGTGAATGGTGATATCCACAGCTAGCCGACTTCATTGAGGCTAGCCGACATCAAAATCATGCATTTACTGGCAATTTATGCCTGCTCATGAGAGTGTGGGAGTCTATGCTACTAATAGAGACAATCCCTGGAAGTCTGTAAGACTTCCAGGGATTGTCTACCAAACTATGGGTTGTGATCCAAAAGTAGGGAACCAAACTTTTGCGTCGAGTACGTAGCAAGTTTGCAAAATCTTTTAAAAAAAAAGAAGATTGTCAATTCAAGTGCAAATTCACACGGTTCATAATCATAAAATTTCTAGACCCTCTCTGCAAAAGACAATAGGCCCCATCAATTAAAAATTCCTGGATCCACTACTGATAAAAGCAAGCAAAAACTGTTGTAATACCAATGTCGGGTATTTTTCAAACATGAACATCAAAATTTGGTGATCGCTGTGCAGTTTATTATTAAATTAATAGATGGGTCGTGCCGGGAAATCAGATCTTGGGTCCCAGAGGAAAAAGTTCGAGAAGCGGAGATCTACTCATGGGATGCGCAGGCCCCAAAAATTACCCCCTGCCAAAAATCGCCTAGAATTACTTAATATGCAAGCTAGCTTCCCTCAACTAATAATCGAGGGCCCCCATGTTACCTCCCTCCATTTCAGGACTCCTAGATAGGCCACTGTCCCCACCCTATGTCTCAACCATTGTTTCATCCTTGTGAACAATACTTGTAACACACAGACAGACACCACAACTCTACATTAGTGTGAACTGTTCATATTCATTTATACAAGGAATGCAAGTCTACAATTCTTTCTATTTAACAATACAATCATACAATTATATCGGAGTAAACAATTTTAGCTTTTCAGATACAAGCTTCAACACCCAGCAATGTCATTTGAAATCATGAAGAAAAATGAGGCAATTTCCATGGGGCAAGCAGAGAAGTATATCACTTTTATATCTTCCTGGTACAAAATTTTAGACTTGTATACTCTATTATTTTTAACACAAGCCTCTCGGTAATTCAAAACATATACTGCGGACATTAATGAATAGGGGGAAATGCATTTGTCCTCACAATACATAAGGAGGGGTAAATAAATTGATCACAGTAGTTGGGGTAATAAGACTAAATTAGCATCCTATCAATTCAAGGACTTTTTAACAGTTAAGTCCTTGATCATTCGATTCAATAAAATAATTACAAAAAAGAACACGTTTAAAAAAATATAATACAGAAAAAATGTAGATAAGTAATGAAACAACATTTTCAAAGAATGTGTTCTTGATATAGTGACCAAAATATGGAAATTGTAATTTTTTGTTTTAATTTTTAATGTCAGCCCTGGTCAAGCCAAAAATATTACCAGTACATAAACATTGTACACAAGCACTTATAAGAGAAACCCCCAAGAAAATATAAAACTTTAATTATTAACATTACAGTAATTATATCAACATTCATCACATAGGGTATGGGTCATAATTCCAAAATACATTGCTGAAATTATATTTTTCTTAGAAATATAAAATATTAATTCATATATTCTTCATTAATTTAGACAAATTTTCCAATATCTGTATCATTTATTTCACATTCAAAGCTTTAATATATTGTATCGGTTTTATTATTTAATTTCTAAAAAATATATGAAGCACAAGTACTAAGTACTTCTTTAAATGTACAGACATCTTCCAGCTTTCGATCTAAAAACCATAATTCATAACAGATACTTTTAATATACTTTTCACTCTATATCAAATGCATGATATAAAAGACACAAATGGGCCAATACATTCTTATTAATAATTAAAGATTATTAATTTAGTGCGACGCTGAATTACCCACATTTTGATATTTCAAAGAAAATATAAATTTTAGCTGTTATTGAATGAATGTGTCTATTTTCTCTGTGGTTCAATCTTGGCCAGAAATTGCAATAAAAAAAACAATTCAACATCAAACAAACTTAGTTTAATAGAGCACATAGCTCTCTCATTTCTATAGAAATTTCGCCCAATTACGTACATACAGAAATGGGGAAAAATATTACAGAAGTAAACCATAGCCCCAAATGGAGGCGTTGATATACAGTCCAATGTCCAGAACAATCGGTTTCCATCAGATTTTTGGTTAGACTGTTTCTGGATGTCCTGAATTTGTTAGAATACTGAGAAATGCAAAATAAAAAGTGAACCATTAACCATTATTTCTCTGCAGGTTGTTGTTATACAGTATATGACAGATTACACTAGGCCTAAGCCTATTAACTGTAATTGGGAACAAAGCACTGGGTACGTTACTAAATCTTGTATGTCATCCTGAATGAAAATACTGTACAATAATTTAACTACTGGGTACTCCAGTTACTGAAGTGAATCTGAGAGTGTCACAAATGGCTTTGCTTGATGGTTCCCTTACATGACACAGACAATGAGAGGGTAGTTAAGTCATCCACATATATTGGGAGTGATTTTAAGAACAAGGGAGAAAATATTTCTCATATAATTTCTTCTAAAAACTGCATTTTTAATTTACTAACTAGAACTAAACCCTCCCCTCAACAAGTGGAGATATAGTAATGCAAGATGTAATGCTAATGATCTTTTCAAATACATGGAGAAAATGATATGTTCTGATGTCAGAAGAGCTAGCAAAAATAATGATAATAATATACTCAAAAGTAATAAGAATTCTATAATCAACTTGATTTAAAATGAGCTTTAAAATGTATTAGAAAATATTTTTCAAAACAATAGAAATTTATGTAAACATTATTGGAAGTAAATTTTAATGTAAAATATGTTACATAAATGCGGTGAAATAAAATTAGCAATCAATAAGAGATGGTGGATAAAGTTTCAATGACAACAGACTCTTGGGCCAAACTGGTGAACTATGATGACAGCTGAGCGAGCATTGCTGATTGCTACTGTTTGCATTTAGAGCGAAGCTGACTTGAATGTGATCAATTTTCTTAAGCTGACAGACAGTTCACCAACAGCATTTCGTAATGAAAGTAGACCCCCCTCCCTTGGGACACCCCTATTAAGTGGACTCATTTTCGGTCACTACAGCTAACCCCTATTCAAGGGACACTGCTATTAGAAAGACACTCATTTTGGTGATGAAGGTGTCCCCTTCGAAGGGGTTCTAATGTATTATCAATATCATTCCTTTTTCAAAAAGTCAAAGCGGTTGTTTTAAAATGTTTTACAAAAATTACTTTAGATCAAAGTTTAAAACAAAAATTATTGGATGTTTTAAGATTTTTAACCATTGAACTAGTAGAATATAAGTTTTTAAAGGAATGTTTTTGCTTATCAAAAATGTATAAATTAAACAAAGGTTTCAAGAAATGGTCTTGTAACTTGTGTGTTTGTGTTAGGTCCAAAGAGGATGATATTTGTATGTTAGTTTGTATCACCCTGGAGCACCATTGTTTTATTCACTTATCTGCATATGCACTGCCCTCAATACATGCCATTTCTATATAATGATCTATATATAGATATGATAAAAGCCGTTAGGATTTTATCTTTCTAGTAAGATCTGGGCTAAACCAACATCCTGATTAAACCTTGTTATATAATCGCGTGGCACAGAACACTATGCTAAATGTAACACCCAATCTGTACTGCAACTTGTTCAGGACTGCTTGTGGCGGGTGCTATTTCTTGCCTGCTCTGCTGCGTGTTTGTCGCCGTTGCTCATCCCCTGCTTTTGGTTCTGGCGTGTACCAAGGGAGTTTAAATTCACTGCAAAAAAACCAAAATTACATTAATTAAACTGGGACATGCATAATACCGGCCTATTCTACAGTATACTCTATATAAATTACATAACAGTTGCTCAAAAAGATAGTGTGAGTAGCAAATTTGTATGTACTGAGCCAAAAAGGGAACACCAAAAACTTAACTTGTGTTATCAGCAATATTAAATGATAAAGGCAAGAGAACAATCCATAACTCGTAGTGTCATTGTGCTAAATTCCGTATGGGTGTGGTCCATGAATCTCTAGCCACGTAAAGAGGCGCTTATAGTAGCTACATGTTCACATCATCGAAACAATGATAAATGGATCATAAACCTTCTGACCAGATAACTTTTAGCTACGCTTATGGATTATAATACTATATTCAATATATACTGAAATAAATAAATAGGTCTTTGAATTGTGTTACACATTTTACAACTTTTTTGAACAGGTTCTCGGAATACAAATAAGCTCATTACCTTTCTGTTATCGTAGGTACAAGCATTCCAAATGCCATCACTGGAACAGTGTCTCTGACCTCAATTCGCAAAACTAAAATGAAAAGTTTCAAATTTTTCAACATCAATTGCAATAACATAATTTTCTGAACATTACTTTTTGATGTCTTGTTTGTATGTACCATCTGAACAATTACCAGGTTGCATTTTCTAAACATGGTGTGCAGTAGATTTTTTTCTACTTTTACCTTATTATTATGCATTATTCTCATAACATACTTTAGTTCCATTTTTAATAAGAGAGAGAAGTTTAGCTCAGTCGGCTAAGCTGGTGGTAGCCACCGTCTGTGGACTAAACCGTGAAGATCACTTGGTCCCCGGTTGGATTCCCATCACTGCTCTACTTTGTATTTCAGCTGGAGGGCTGAATGTAAGTAATGATAGCACACTGTCTTTGGGAGTCCAGATGTTTAAGCCGTTGGTCCTGTGTACATTATGGCCCATGTGCACGTTAAAGAACTCAGTACGCTCTTCAGAAAAGAGTAGAGGATTGTCTCCAAGTGTACTGCCCAATCACCATCAGAAGGACCCCACTGGAAACAAGTCTTCTTCAGACTTTCATGGGTTATTCTTGGTGTTTACACCAAATAAATCCAATCTAATCCAAGGTCAAAACCAGTTCCATTTGCCACTGTAACTTATAATTATTAAAATACTGGAGCAGAACTATGTGATCACAAATTGACACGTTTTAGTGTACAGCACTTGCGCACACATACTCTATGCTATGGTAGTGACATTTTGTGTAAAATGGAATGAGAACTCACTTCAGTTGATTTCATTTGACACGCATGCCAAGTACAGTGTGTTTCTGCACTACACTTATTCACGCTCCTATCAGGAGCCTATTTTTATTTTTACTGTAATATTTCAAGTATTATTAAAGAAAGCTGCTTACTATCATCTACGTCAGGTTCAAATGTTTCAATAACATCTTCTCGGTTGGCAATTTCACGCTCCATCAGCTTCATTTCAAGTCGTTCATGCTCACGGATCTGCCGAATTCTTTGCACATCCCAACGTTTTCGTTTCTTTTCATCCATCTCCATTTTGTGATGTCTTATTTCTACTATCTTATCATTTATTTCCTACAAGATTGAAAAAAAAAAAACACAAGACATCCATGGTAAACAAATTTCAGTTTCCGGGTAAAGCAAGAGATTTAAATTGTAACACACACTTGCGTCACAAATTCAAAATTGTTTTTTTCAATTTTGATGTACAATATCAAAATTGGAAAATTCAACAGACTTTGACTCTGTTGGCTGAACAAGGTATAGAAAGGTCTCCTAAACTTATAATAAACAATAAAATTAATAACAAAAATATTATTGAAAACAATAATAATATTTATATTATTATTAACCATAGTAAACCTTTAAAAAACAATACTGTATTATAGCAATTTAGATTTATTTAGTACTTCTTCAAACAACTTCTAAAGTGTTTTTACAATTTTATTTTTCATAGCATAAAAAGTTTATTTCTACCTCCATTTCTTCACATCTTGATTCATCTAAAGATGTGTTACTGACATGTGACACTCTCCACGTTGGTACTGTAAAAAACAATGAACAATATTAATAATTAATTTTAATATAAAAAGCAAATTACCCTTAAAATTCCAGGAGTCTGCATTCAAATCTTGTATAATCTTGGATTTTTGCAACAAAATTAAATAAAGCCCTGGCCATACTTCCAAATTTTATTTAACAAAAACAAGTGACATGCCTAAATATGGGCATGGTGACATTACATCATGACCATATATAGGCACATAAGCCTCATCGTTATTTTCTTGAGCCTCATATCTACAGTACTGTACTTACCAACAACGTATCCTGAATCAAGGGGAAGGTCATCATCAACAGCAATTCTAAGATCTCTCAACGAAGGGTATAAAATTTTTGTCCGATGGAATTTGTCTTCACTAAGTTCTTTATACTTTCTATGTCTTCTGTAACGCCTTGTCTTTGCAGGTGTTGTGAGGTGTGCATCTTTCGAAAGTTTTGAGGGGGAAACACTTCGTGAGGGTGACTTTGGCTCTGGGATTTCAAGTTGGGTTTTTTTAGAAGATGACGGTGTACTTGCGTTAACCTTACTGTAAAGATAATTGGAATGAATTTCATCAATTATGAAAGTACAATTATAAACATGAAATTAAGAGAATGGGAGAGCAGCAAAGCCAATATTACTAAAACTGGTGGTAGCCACTGTATGTGAATTGAATCATGGATATCTGGGTGAACTACATTACTGGTCTCCTTGTGTTTCAGCTTTGATTTGATCGACGTTTAAAGCAGGGGCGGATGCAGTAGGGGGCACGGGGGCCAGTTTGCCACTAAATTTTAAAATTTCAAGGCACATAATGAAATTAGCGCTCTCACTTATTTATTCTAAATATGTTGTGCCCCACCCCATTTGAAAAATTCTGGATCCACCCCTGTAGAGCTTTACAAATGTGCCACACTTCTTAACTAACACAAAAACAGTAGAAGGTTGTCTCCTGCCAGATGTACACATTAATACATCATAAACCTTGCAGAGACAGGCTGATGAATATAACCCTTGAAGATATGCTGTGTGTGTTAACTTCAAAACACTAAAAGATATAAAATGAATTGCTATTTTTGTGGGTTACAGTATTAGCATAAAGCCAGGCTCCAGAGGAAAAAAATGTTGATGCTCAGTACAACTGATTTTTCTAAGACCCAAAAGGGTGTTTTACCAAAAACTCAGGAATGGTTAATGAGATGAATTTTTGAATATTTAAAGACTGGTTGGGTAAAAAGGATAGTTACTCCCCTCCCCCCATCCCAGTTTTAAATATTCAAAAATCTGTATCTCATGTACCATTCCAAACACCATTTTTGTGCCCGAATAATCAGTTGTACAACATAAACATTTTTTCCCTTCTGCGCCTGGCTTTCACTAGAAAACTGATGTGGAAATATATTATACAAATATTGACTGCTCATGAGGGGAATGGTCAAATCTATTGCACCGAGGTGATGTGGAGACCATAGTCTAGTCTCCCGAAGGCCAAAAGGCCAGATGGAAGATAGATTTTACCGTTCCCTAAATTTAGAGCAGTCACCATTTGTTTTATATACCTCTACATAGATTCTACGAGGGCTAAAAAAGTACTTACTTCCTATTCTATTATTAGAGGCCTAGGCCTACTACTACTACTAGGCTAGGCCTACTTGACTAGCTAGGTCTAGGCGACCAAAGAGGTGTGTTTAGCTCTTCTTTGGTTATTTCCTCAATTTCAACAGCACCCATCGTCTTGCAAAATTTGTCGAATATTGATAAGACATTACTTAATTTGTCTTTTGGTGCTTTTGCTATCAGCTTCATCAAGAAGTAATGATAGGCCTAACATAGTCCGTCCTTCATCTCAAAACGACTAGCCTCCATATTTGTTCACTGTCTATTAGCTGATCTATGATGCGGTCAAGGGCAAATCTCATTGTAGAGGACGCAATCCCTTTTACCGTCAGCAGCACGATTTAGTGGGCCTAGAGTTTGCACATCGTGACAGGTCAAAAAAGTAGTATTTTTGAGGGGAATAGTAATTTCTATTGCCCCGCTTCTTAATTAATCAGATGCCTAGAATCTATGTATGTATATATATATATCAATAGACACATAGTATATATCTTTTCTGATGTATTTCTTTGAAAAGTCTTTTTTATTAAATGTTAATTACCACAATGTATCTTAAAACATTTTATCTTTAACTTACAGAACGCAAGTTTAAGATACAATGTATTACCCACAATGTATCTTAAACTTACAGAACGTAAGTTTAAGATAAAATGTTTTTAGTTAAATAATTATTAAATAGTTATGATCAATGTCATTAAAGGATGGCAATTCCAGTCCAATATGTTACTTACACTTCTGCATGCATTTTTCAAAAAAGTAATTGGCAATAACTATTCTAATATAAAAAAAAATTGAAAATAATATGTATGCTACCATGACAATTTTAAAATTTATAATCAAAGCATTATAGTTTATGCCAAGCAGCATTTTTACCGTTTATTTGGTGTTTCAGTTTTTGACGGTGTTGATGGAATCGTTTGATTGGTTGAACAATTCTTGTTTTTAGGTGGTCCACTTTTATTTGCCAGTGACATTCGGCGTTCCATACGCTGTAGGCGGCATAGCAACTGCAAAAAAAGTAAATTTAATTATTTCTTGATTTGAGTGTTATACTAGCTACTGATTGTACTTTTTTTGGTTTTTTTAATTATTTAAAAGCCATATCAATTTCTGAAATTCTCTCTGTTTTTTAAGTTAGGGCCTAGTCCATTAAATTATATAAGTAATATAATAAATATTATTAAGCATTTTAAAGATTAAAATTATCATTGATATTTGTAAAATATAAATATTTTTTCTAAACTGTATAATTTCATATGTCCTGCAGAAGAATGTCACTGACAAATTTATTAACACGCCTTTTCCATGAATCGGTGATGACAAACAACCCAAGTCAGTGGTGTGTAACCAACAGAAAAAAGATAAGTTTTGAGGCTAAAATGTTATCTAAAAATTCATAACTATTCGTAAAACTATATACTATATAGATAGGCTCTTCTTTTTAATCTTGATTTCGGAGGTCAAAAAGTTTTCTATTTTTTTTTTCAATCATATAGTGGTGTATAAAAGTCTTTTGAGAACATTTTTCCTGAAAAAAATTATGTGATACGACCGTCCGTTATGGAGTCGTGAATTTTTAGATAACATGAGGACAAGAATTTAGCCTCAAAGCTTATCTAATTTCTGTTGGTTACGCAACACTGACTTGGGTTGTTTGTCATCATTTCAACTTCTAGATGTCTACCGATTCGTGGAAAAGCTATAAAATAGTTGTTCCATCCTGTATATAACAATTGTTGGATGCAAATGAAATTTTAAAGAAAACTTGTATTGTAACTAATGCAAGTGCTTTCCATGCTCCAATTAATAGGCCTAAATCTATTTTTATTATAGTTTATAAGATAACCCTGGAATTGGCCTAAAACTTATGCGACCTTTATTAAATCGGCCTTGGACCTAGGCACCCTAGTCCTATCCTAGGCGCTAGTCTAACCTAGATCTAGGCCTGGTTAGGCATTCGTCGAAGGTAGGCCTAGCCAAGCATAGGCTAGCCTAATAGTAGTAGGATCGATCGATTTAGGCTTTGGCCTAGTTACCGTTTCTTTATCATCACGTAATTTCTGTATTTCTTTATCTTTCTGTTGCAAATCTTTTTGCTGCTGTTGAATAAGGTCTAGATGAAGCATTAGTAGTCCTTTTAAATGGGTAATCTGTGGTTCTAATTTGGATTTATCGCCGCAATTTCCAACGTCCAAATTATGCATTCTATCGTCACTTGCTTCAGCTGCATGTATTGTTTGTTGTTGGTCGCTGGCGGCATTGGTGGTGGTACCCATCGCGTCTACAACAACATGGTGGTGGTTAGGCTGGTTCGAGTTTGCCATGTCCGAATGCAATGCGTTGTTTCGTGTGTTGTTTTTACGAGCCGACAGTAGTCGGTTTGATGTAGGTTTGTTTTCTAATTTTCCCATGAATTCACACTTTAAATTTCCAGGCGCCATGTAGGATGACAAGACGTTTACGAACTCTCGAAATACCGAAAGTCCTTGCCACAACATCGATGTTTAACTGTAGCGTTGGCCATCACATACACACTTGTCTAGCTTGAAGTGTGTTTTTTACTCGCGCCGCCGCTGCCATCTAAATTAATATACTAATGGGCTTAACCTTGCTCATATTACTTTTTAGAATTATGAAATATTATGATGTGATGTAAAATAAATCATTAGATCGAAAAGTAATTATGTAATGTAGTTTAGAAGGTTATTATTAAAAATATTTTATGTAAAATTTAAGTAACGCTTTAGTTCAAGTTCAAATTTACGAACGAGGGTACAAAATGGACGCCGCTTTAAGAAAATACTACGTGTTTTTTAACTTTTAAATCCAACCGATGATTGGGAAATTGGTGATTTTAAATCCCCTTTGAAATAAGGCATAAATAAACTATCAAGTTATTTAATAAATAAAACAAATTATTATTTTCGAATGGTTATTACTTGAAAATGAAAGCACGCTTCACAAGGAGTCTCTGTGGCGCAATCGGTTAGCGCGTTCGGCTGTTAACCGAAAGGTTGGTGGTTCAAGCCCACCCAGGGACGCTTGGTTTTTTTTTCTTTCCCCTTTTCTTGCTATACATATTTCTTTCTTTTCTATACATATTTTTCCAATCATATAAAAAAATTAATATATTGTTTTTTGTTTTTTGTTTTCCTTTCTTGCTTTAGACCTACATTTTTTCTTTCTTTTCTATAGGCCTACATAATTATGTTTTTCCAAATCATCTAAAATAGATAAATATATCTTAAATAAGATGAAGCAATTGATTCACTTTAACTTGACTTTAACCATAACCAACACAAAGTTGTTTTTTTTTTTTTTATCTAGGCCAAAAATCAGTGTTCTATTTTTTGGCCAATTTGACTCAAAATGTTCTTATTTTACACACCTTATAGAAAATTATTATACAGCGTTTCTCAAGTTCGTAAGATGTATTTCCGTAACATGTTCAGCTATTTCCGTAGTAAATGAAAAATTTCCGTAGCACCACCCAATAATTTGCCCTGAGTCAAGATGGAGTTATAATTATTTTGAAAATGAGCCCGATCGTCTTTGAGCCGATTGTCTGTAATTCGATATGGAATTATTATTTCAAAACGGGATCGTAGAATGAAGATTTTCGGGCCACTTTTTCTTAGTTTTCACACTAATTTATCAGTAATCCAACAAGTTTGTCTAGGGACAATCTGTAACTAAAGATCCTGATGGAAAAGTCATTTGTTCTGGACTAATGATGAAATATAAAATATCAGTAACATACACGACGGAACATCACACTGCTCTCTCGCGTTAACCATATCTGTCATAATTCAAGTTCAAAAGTAGGTTTATTCATGGTCAACAGTAGACGATATATAAATGACACATATAGTAAACAAAGCTTAAAGGCCTAAATAAAATAAATAATTATAATGACCATCATCAGGGGCGGATCCAGAATTTTTCAAACGGGTGAGGGGGCACAACATATTTAGAATAGATAAGAGAGCGCTAATTTAAATATGGCCTCAGAGGCATTTTATTACACAATTTCTTTATTCATTTATTTACAGGACTACATTCGTTGAGAGCTATGCTACACGATGTATTTATTAAGTCCTTTATTCGAACACTGTATTTACCTTTCTTTGATAATTAATATATATATATATATATTATACCATTCTTTTTGATATCAATTTATCATTTCACATTAAATACAATTTCTGATATGACTTTTTCAATATATAATGGAATATAATAAATACAAATACATGTCACTGCTTTTGATGTTATTCTTTGACTATGCAGTACAGTAAACATATATAAAGGAACAAACCATGTTTTACATGGTGGTCACCTTGGAATTTAATATGGCTGCTAAATGACCTTGACCTAAAATGGCTGTCATAATGACTTCTGATGAAATAATTCCTATCAAAAATTGAATTTTGTGAGCTTATGTATGATTTTGCTGTAAAATACGACCACTTACAAACTATTAAGATTTTCTGCGTATTTAACAGAGAAATGAAATTGAATGACTTTAAATGACCATCTGACCATGTCACAGGTGCTATAAATCCTTGACCATGAAAATATATTTTTAGACATCATAATTCTTATTGGAAGATGTTTAAAAGCCGATATATTGATAAGTATAGGTTTTGCGTGGCAGCCATTTTGAAATTTAAGATGGCTGCCAGAATGACCTCGAATGAAATATTGTAGTTCATAGTAAAAAGTTTGAATTCTGAGAGCCTGGGTAGGATTCTAATGTAAAATTTGACAATTACGTAATTTTAAAGATAACATACAATATTTGACCTTGAATGACCTTACATGACCCATTTGTGGCAATCTGACCAGGTCAAAAATGATATGATGGTATTCCTTGATCATATAAACATACTCTTAGACATTAGAATTATAATTCCAAGTGGTTTAGAAGCGGAGATATAGATAAACATAGGTTTTATTAGGCGGCCATTTTTAAATCCAAGATGGCCGCCATAATGACCTCGGATGAGGTGGTTCCTACCAAAAATTGAATGCTATGACCATAAGGAGCATGTAAAAAAAAATTGGTGCTTTTGTCCGGAACGTCCACATTAAGTCCAAATATGGCCCTAAGCTGCCGTACTATACAGAATTAGTTCATGGTAAAAAGATAAATAATATTGTATTATTCTTTTTCAATAATAATAACAAAGATATTGCTTTAATATTAATATCTAAACTGTTCCATAAAATTTAAAAAAAAAAAGAAATGACTTTTCCTGAGTAGAACCTGGTGGTATATTGAGATTGTTACCATTATGCCTTTTGATTAAACCAATCATAGAAGATGAAATATGTTTATTATAATATACTATCTTCAAGGCGCTGCCTTTTTTATGCAATTTATAAGCAGTTTAGGCCCTATATAAAGAAAGTATCTTTAAGAAGATGCTAAAATAATATAATCTAATTGTCTCAATGGAAGACTTAATAATAACACTGGGCTTCAAGGCAACTCATGGTGTGGCACCACAGAGGAATTACTGTAATAAGGAAAACCCCGATGCCCCTCAATTGCTCCGCCCTTTTACTCCTATAAAAAAAGTAATCTTAATACAGCAATGATTAAACAATAGGCCTAGCCTGTTCACGATCTGGCTGAAAGGACGATTTATTATGTATTGAATGAATTAATCCCTCGCGCTGGGGTTGCCTATAAGACCGAAGACCAAATACCCAAAAACAAAGACCCATATTTTTTCTCTTTTATTTTGATGATAATACGCCAGGCTGTCACAAAATTCAAAATTACGAAATTTTTTAGGCGTCTGTTTGTGAAATTTTCAAGGGTCTCGTTTTATTATTATAGACGCCCTATATGGGTGTCTACAAAACGAAGACCGAAGACCCGAAAAACGAAGACCTTCAATTATTTCTCAATTAGGCCTATCTTATTGAAAGTATTTCAAAATCATCATAAAACTGTTGCCAACGGCCCAAACAAGAAGGTATTAAATTGTATATTTAAAGATGAATTGTCCTATGCAAATAAACCCCGTCCCCCCCCCACCAACAAAACAAACAAACAAATAAACAAAAACAAAAAAAAAAAAAAAAAAAAAAAAAACATAAATCATTTTTAAAATTAACATAATGCCAACTTGAACGTTATAGAAATTAGTGTAGGACTATTTAAAAAACTGTTTATCCATATCTGCAAGTGTTTGATTTTTTTTACAGCACAGTATTATCCTTATCCAGCATAAAAATAGGGGGTATGCTTACACATTTTTTTTCCAATAATTTCCTTATGCTCAAATTAATAATTTGTATGAAATTTGTAAGTACTGTAAAATTAACAAGTTAAAATTATTTTTATATATGATTTTTTGTCATTTTCAAAGGATAGGTCTTTATACCTCCTTGGTCCAACAAGTTCGATAGAGGATCGGAGATTCGGACTTGGTATGAGTACATAATATATCGAACATCGAATACATTCATCATTCAATCAATCAATCAAATAGTGGGCGCTGTACGATACGCTTCACTGAGTCTTTTGACCACAAAACACGCTATCTTGAAGTTCAAAGTCTTTGCTGTGCTGTGTGTTTATGAACCTAGGCTAGACCTAGGCCTAGTTTATATACTATATGTTTTTAACTCTAGCGTAGGCCCTGGTTCAAGTATGACTACAGTGAATCGGCTCCGTCCATTGTCAGGCTACAGAATCCTTGATATGACTAGGTATGTAGCAAATATACGAGTGTTAATCAGTCAATAGATGCAGCCTTATCTTCCTATCTTTAGGCCTACAATGGAAGTGATTTTGGATCAGGTGCGATCGATGGACCCCGTGAAAAAGTAGCTCAGGCCGAATATCTTCTACAGTAACAGCATTACGGACCCCTAACGGGATATTCCATTTTGTGCACAGGTTATCTAGTTATGCAAACAATTTCCAATTTGCTGCTATTATCGAAACGAACTGTAAACAATGATTCAAAATATTCAGGACGTTCGTGGCTATGATTGTAAGTGTATCACATATTTAGTTATATTTATTACTTCATAACACGAGAAAGTTTAATTTGATAGTTACGTCGTGAGGTGCTAATGCACTTTCGCACCTAACATTTAATTCTTAATTTTTTTACCTCATTGTACCTTCTCACAGTCACAACACATAATTATAAAACATTTTTACATGATTCAACCACTGAGCAGCCGCTCGTCGTGCTAGCGAGTACAGATTCGCTGTACTTATTTGCGGGCTTATTTGTTGAAAAAGGTACTTTGTGAGTATGAGGCGCCAAGTGTAAATTTATTATTTAACACAATTATTTATATATAATTCATTATTTAACATATAATTGAATAGATCCCCCATTATTTATATATAATGCATTTACGTCTAAAAGATTATATGTAAATAATTGCGTTAACGTTTTCATTATTTATATATAATTAGTGTACTGATTTCATTATATATAAATAACGAAAGGGTAACCAAACATTATTTATATATAATAAAATTACTGGTTTCATTATATATAAATAAGGAAAGGGTAACACTTCATTATATATAAATAATGAAAAGTAACCCCAAAGTTGATGAACCTCGGTATTATGCCTATCACCAGCAGCTGATCCGGACATTTCCCCGGACATTCCCCGGACCTGGACAAGACATACTCAAATCAAGATTCCTGAGGGCCGCAGCGTTCACTTTGGGGTTCTCTTAATTGATTTGAGATTTGCAGTACAGCAGATTCAATAATCTGCTGTA